CACAAAAAACAACTGTGTCTGCGAACCCGGGCCCTCCCTGTACACTCCAATGAACTCACACAGGAAACTGATCAAAGACAAAACACCCTGTCACCTGTGGGTGAACACCTTTCACAAAGCAATCACTCTATGCCTGACCTATGAGCACTCATCCTCAAAGGAAACCTGCAAATCGCTTTCAAATGATGAGCCTAGGAGCTTACATTCATAACTCTGCTAGACCAGGGTGAGCAAACTTTTTGGCCTGAGGGCTACAGCGGGGTTCCGAAACTGTATGGAGGGACGGGTAGGGAAGGCTGTGGCTCCCCAAACAGCCTGCCCCGCCCCCTATCCGCCCCCTCTCACTTCTCACCCCCTGACTGCCCCCCTCAGAACTCCCAACTAATCCCAGTACCCCCCCGCCCCTAACCACCCCCCGGGACCCCACCCCCCATCCAACCCCCCCGCTCCCTGTCCCCTGACTGCTCCCTGGGATCTTCTGCCCCTTATCCAGCCCCCCTGCTCCCCGCCCCCTTACCATGCCGCTCAGAGCACCAGGACGGGCAGTCGCACCGCCCGGCTGGAGCAAGCCAGCCGCCGCGCAGTCTAGAGCACTGGGGCAGGCCGGCAGCTCTCGCAGCCATGCTGCCCGGCAGGAGCTCGCAGTCCCACCGCCCAGAGCACTGGCAGCACCGTGAGCTGAGGCTGTGGGAGAGGGGGGACAGCAGAGGAGGGGCTGGGGGCTAGCCTCCCCAGCCGGGAGCTCAAGGGCCAGGCAGGACGGGCCTGCGGGCCCTAGTTTGCCCACCTTTGTGCTAGACACTATCATGGACTGAACAACGACACTGGATATATGGCTTATCACAACGATTTGTAACGGACTAACCCCCTCTTTTTGTCCTACTACCTTGAATGGTCCCTTAGAATATGTGCTAACTACTTATGCCAAACCATCTATTCCATTTTACAGTTATCTGGGACACTGGGAGTACCTTTCAAAGACCTGGAGGAGAGCTCTTTGTAAGCTTCAAAGCTTCTTCTCTCACCAACAGTTGTTGAGCCAATAAAAGATAACTCCAATTTTCCAGCCTAATCCGACTGCATGTAGATTTTAGAGAAGATTCAAAATTCTGCTTTAAACAAGAAACACGTTGCAGTCTTAACTATGGAGGGATTAGCAGTTGCTCCATAAAACAGAAGCTCAAAGTCAGAGTTAATGTTGTTCTAGCCGCTTTAATTCTGAATTTGAGATTTTGGGCTCATACAGTTTCACACCAATGTATCCTTTCTTTTTTCCATTTTATTTATTCTAACATACCAACATTTCACAATCTATAATGTGGGGTAATGACCACTATGCATCAGTGTACAAGAGCACTCTGTGACAAGATAAAGCCCAACAAGCTTGGAGACAGAACAGAAATATCTGAAATATAAAAACGAGGGCATCAGTTATTCCATTCAACAAGGCGGGTTTCTTAGGCTATGTCTACACTACGCAGCTTTTAGCAACACAGCTGTGCTGCTAAAAGGCGCGCAGTGCACCTGTTGTTTGTCGAGAGGACAAAAAACTTCCACTCCCAACAAGCGGCACATTAGCTCTCCTGCTGACAAAATGCTGTTCACACCGCTTGTCGTCGGCAAAACTTTTGTCTTTCAGGGGGGTGTAGTTTTTTTAACACCTCTCACAAAAGTTTTGTCTTTCACTTGCCAATGTAGACAAAGCCTTAGTATGAGTCCTTCAAATGAAGACGTGTTCCAGAAAACCAGTCAAACGATTATTTAACGGTTGCAGTATGTGATAGACTCCTCGACATCAGGGAATTGCTCTGACAGAAGAATATCCCCTCCTCCACCAATGCTGGAGGAGCATTATTCCCTGGTTCCAGCCCTGGCTGTACTTAGGGGGAAGCTATCTCCCAGGTGTCAAACCAGCCCACCTCCTTGCTAGATGGGGGAGAGGGTTATCCCCTGGGTGTTGGCCCCTTGCTGTGTGGCGGCTTTAGTCTCAGGGCAAGAAGACAGTCTGGCGTTTTGCTGTAAGGGGTGGGTGGGTTTGTGTGTCTGTCCCTTAGGGTAAAGAGCCAACCTGCCTGTGGGAGGGGGGCTCGAGGGACTGGTTTTTTACCTGTGTAATGAACTGGTCTGATGCATCTCTGTATTTCTCCAACACAGCCGTGGGGACAGGCTCCTCATACTCAAACTGTGGGTTGTAAGTATAACGAGACTGGAAGAACTTCTCTCTCTCCTCGTCAACATTCAAGGGCCTAAGGGCCACCAGCAGGCAAGGACTCCTCCTGCTGACGTTGATCTCCTCAGCCTTTGGCCTGGCAATATGAGGCAGGGAAGCTGCACTGCGGATCTGTGCACGTGCCCGGCCACTACTATTCACAGTGCAGGTGCTCTCGCTACGGCGCATCCAGCTGCAGGGGCTCGGGAAAGCAGGGCAGATTTCCGACAGCCGCCTGACCTCGGGCCTTGCTTTTGAGACCTTGGAGCACTTGAGCTTGGTAGGCGTTTTGAGCCTTTGGCCCAGGTGGGCAGGGTCTGAATCTGGAGATGGTGAAGGGGAGAGGTAGGAATAGAGTCGCAGCCCATTATGTTCAGAGAACTTTTTCCCGCCCCTCTCGCGCTGGGGGCTGGCGCTCAGGACATTGCGATGCCGCTCATATGACTGTGTCCCCGAGTCCAGCACCATCTTCCTTGACCAAAATCCTTGTCGAGATTACATCAAACCGGGCGCTCTCCTCTCATCTCAGCCTTGTACCTAGAGACACACACAAAGAGATGCAGGAACTGCACAAACAACCTCAAAAGAGAAGTCTCCTAGACACCAGGATGCTGTAACTGTGATGACACCGCAGTTATGAGGAACAAAATACCTCTCTTCTTTGAGTATCGGGGGGTAGCCGTGTTAGTCTGAATCTGTAAAAAGCAACAGAGGGTCCTGTGGCACCTTTAAGACTAACAGAAGTATTGGGAGCATAAGCTTTCGTGGGTAAGAACCTCACTTCTTCAGATGCAAGTCTGTTGCTCTCTTCTTTGAATTTCCCAAGTAGGTTGGCTCTTACATACATCTGCAGGTAAATTCCCCACATCCAGAAGTTCAGTAACCCCAGACGTGGAGGCAAGCCCAGCACAGCCACCAACTCTCCAGAAGAGATTAGACCAAAAAGCACCAGGTGATTTACAGCCTCACCTTCATTTTCTCACTCAAAATTGTAGCTTTGGATCTAAAGTTTTCTGTGCTTGTTATGTACCGAGAGGTCATTTCCACAGTCAGCACAAGTATATGCACAGCTTGTGCACCAATCTAGTTTCTAAATGCACCTTATTAAATCAGTGCAAACCATGCCCCCACCCCCATTGAGGGTTTAAGTGTCCACAGAAAGGGTTTGCTGATTTAATTAAATCAGTGCACACACTGCACAGATACAAGCCCTAAGTGTGAGTTATGGGAGTGGAGGAAATGTGCTTTTCCTATTGTTAAAAGAAAACAGTATTTCAATATAACTAGAGCTAACTTGGCCCTGACAGAGTTCTCAATGAGGAGCATGGATTTGGTTTGGTTTAAAGGAAAATTAAGAATAGAATAAAACAAAACTATAAGGTGCAGAGGTCTGCCTTACTGCAGTGTTAAGATTGCGGAGTTAAAACCAAGTCACGAAGTGCAGAAGTTACAGTTCCCACATTAATGAGAACTGAACAATGGCATGCCATAATATTTTTATATGCAGTGGTGTTGTAGCCACGTCGGTCCCAGGACATTAGCAGGACAAGGTAGGTGAGGTAATATCTTTCACTGGACCAACTTCTGCTGGTGAGAGAGAGAAGCTTTGGAGTTTATCCAGAGCTCTTCTTCAGGTCTAAGAAACTTACTTCAGACCTAGGAGACCTGAAGAAGAGCTCTGTGTAAGCTCTGAAGATTGTCTCTCTCACCAACAGAAGATGATCCAATACAAGATATTATCTTGTCTCTCTAATTACATTTTTAGCCAGGCATGCAATTCTGCACTTGTATGCAAACAGGCATTCTTCATGCAATGTTACATCACACATATGGTGCATGCGAGGTCACGCTATGTGGGGGACACTGTTCTTTTCTACAAAATGGCAACGTTCAGGGGCCAGACACAGTCATCCCCCAGGCACGATTTCCTGGGGCATGCAATGCCTGCCTTGCATATGTGCCACTGGAACTATATGCACTGAGAGGGCATTGCCCAGTCTTGTTTTCTTGCACAATGGGTAACTAACATCCCTCACCCAGGGTGCGTGGTCACTTGGGGCAGCAAGTGGACTGAGGAACTGCTGCTTCTTTCACAGAATGGTCCTGCTGCCACTAATTTTGTACTTTGCCCAGGAAAAGAGTAGCCTAAAGTATGCTGGGAAGGAGAGCCCGTGCGGCTGCTGGGAGCTGGGGAGTTGATCAGGCAGCTGCTGCTAAGAGAACAGCCTGTGAAGAGGTACGGGAGGGTGGGGTTTTTTTGTGGCGATGGAGGTGTGCAAAATGTTAGGGTGAATTAAGTAACAATAGAAACAAATTAAATAACTGTTCAGGTCACGCTGTCGAGCAATTAAAGGTCAGGAAAGGCCAGAATGAAGTTTGCCCAAGCAACCTTAATGATCCCCCCTCCCCTTTTGATAAAGTCTCTAACTGCATCGTCCCACACTTTTAGTTCTTAAACCTGTGGGGCGGCCTCCCCTGGGTGCAGACTGGTCTAATGGGGAGGGCAGGGCAGGCCTGGTAGACAGGGGCCTGGGGGAAGGGGAACACCGTGGGGCGGGGACAGCAGAGAGCGCTGCAGGGTGGGGATGGCGCAAGGTACTGGGGGCGCTGCAGGGACGGGGCGAGG